TAGCACACTTGCTTATTGGGAAATCAACCCTTCCCGTTCTCCTTAAACTTGGTCTCTGAACTATTGATCATTTGGTGAGCGTTTTCTCCTATTTTATGTCAATAACTGAAACAGATTTGAATTTTATTATTATCCACTGAGTCCATCAAATTGTAGTGGATGTGTGTGCGCGCAAGTACATTTTATCTATGTAATTACATACAAGTGTATACAACTGTGTATCTAGATGGAATACACACACACACACACACACACACACATATATTTGTGTATGTGTGTTTGAATAGGCAAATAAATTAAAGAAGACAGTATTGGCTGGCCCTGTTATTGGAAAATGTAAATGAAACCTCAGACAGGGTTGCCTGAGATGATAAAAATTGAGCTAACTGGACATTGCCTTGGGTTTAATTTTAGTGCTAGATGTGTTCACTTAATTGGATTAGGAAGCAGTTCTTTTTGCTGGCTCAAAAATTAAACAACAACAAAAAAATCTAGTTTGTAAAAGCTGAGTGTAAGAAGCCCAAGTTAAAATGTGAAGAATCACAAAGTAGAAAATTTTAAGCTCTAGTTGAGGTGCGGGTGACCAGAAAAAGCTAACATAGGGCAGGGCACTATTAAAGAGCCTTTAGGAATTGTGTATTATCAGGGTGTCAGGATGGGGCATACTGTTCCTCTTCTTGTATAAGGATCTGTGAACTTTCTCTTTTGACAATGATAGAGTCTGAGATTTTGGCTTGAATCATACATTGCTGTGGCTAGGCAATGGTTTGCATTTTTATTTCCCACTGGGGCATTTTAGAAGTTTGTGAGAAATAAATGATGAGAATATTATTATGAAAAAATTAAATGAAATGGCATGATAAAGAGTGAAGAAATTCACGTCAGTTGGTCTGAGAGGGCCTTGCCAAGGAGGTGGTTGGAGCCCAGCCTAACTGAGAAGAAGGAGCCAGCTCTGAGAAATTCTGGGGACAGCAAGTTCTCAGTAGTAGGCATGGCAGGGGCAAAGGCCCTGAGGCAGGACTCAGAAAAGGCCAGGTGGCATTGAATGTGGGGGGAGCATGGTAACAATGGAGGTGGGAGATGTAGGCAGGGAATTAAGGTAGACCAGAGGAAGTCAGGCTGCCTAGCATGGTTGGGCAGGTCCTGAGGCTTCACTAGGAGTTTCATCTTAGTGCAAAGTGCTGCTTGTGCTGTGAATTCACTGACTTTGGAAAATGGCTAAACTTCTCTAAGCCTCAGTTTTCCCAACTGTCAAATGAAGGTGCTGGATTAACATATGAGAGCATCCGGGGGCCCCTGAGGGGTGCAGGTGTTTGAACATCCAGCTCTTAGTTTCGGGTTAGGTCATGACCTCGGGGTTGGAAAGTTGGGCCCTGTGCCCAGCTCTGCCTTCAGGGCGGAGTCTCCTTGGGTTTCTCTCTCCCTTTTCCTCGGCCCCCTCTCCCCTTGCTCATTCTCTCTTTCTCAAATAAATAAATCTTTTAAAAAAATATATGAAAGCATCTGACATTTGGTAACTCCTCAATATAAGTTAGCTGAATTCATTAATGCATCCTAAGGGCCTTCCGAATTTATAAACCTGTAATCTTTTTTCCCCCAACTTAGTCCTTTTATTTATTATTTATTTAATTTATTTTACTTTTTAAGTAGGATCCATGGCCCATGTGGGGCTTGAGCTTACAACCCTGAGATCAAGAGTCACAGGTTCTACTGGCTGAGCCAGCCAGGCACCCCCTACTTATTTATTTTTAAAATTGAAGTATAGTAGACACACAATGTTACATTAATTTCAGGTGTACAACATAGTGGTTAGAGAAATTTATACAAGATGTTATGCTCACCACAAGTATAACCCATCTGTCACTCTACAGCATTATGACAATATTATTGACTATATTCTCCATGCTCTACCTTTTATTCCTAAGACCTATTCATTTCATAACTGGAAGCTTGTATATCCCCCACCCCTTCACCCATTTTGCCCATCTCCTACCCTCTCCTCTCCTCCGGAAACCATCAGTTTGTTCTCTGTATTTGTGGGTCTATTTCTGCTTTATATTTGTGTTTATTCATTTTTGTTTTTTTTCCTTTTAGATTCCACATATAAGTAAAGTCATATAGTATTTTCCTTTCTCATATAATATTTGTCTGACATATTTCTTTTAACATAATACTCTCTAGGTCCAACCATGTTGTTGCAAATGACAAGATCTCATACTGTTTTATGGCTGAGTAGTATTCCATTGTGTGTGTGTGTGTGTATCTTTGCCTATTATTTATATATATATACATATGTATATAAATTTATATCTATATGTGTATATATATATATATATCACACATCTATAGCTATCTAAATACTACATCTTTATCTCTTCATCTCTTGATGGACACTTGGGTTGTTTCCATATCTTGGCTGTTGTAAACAATGCTGCTATAAACATAGAGGGGCATGTATCCTTTCAAATTAGTGTTTGTTTTCTTTGGCAAATACCCAGTAGTGGAATTACTGTATCATATGGTATTTCTTTTTTTAAAAAATATTTTGGGGCACCTGGTGGCTCAGTCCATTAAGCATCTGCCTCTGGCTCAGGTCATGATCTCAGAGTTCTGGAATGGAGTCCCTCTTTGGGCTTTCTGCTCAGTTGGGAGTCTGTTTCTCCCTCTCCTCTGGTGCCCCTCCTGCTTGTGTTCTCTCATCCTTATCAAATAAATAAATAAAATCTTTAAAACAAAATATTTTGAGGAACATCCATACTGTTGTCCACAGAGGCTGCACCAGTTTATGGTCACACCTATAGTGCACAAGGGTTCCTCTTTCTTCACACCTTCACCAAACTTGTCTCTTGTCTTTTTCATTCTAGCCATTTTTATGCATGTAAGACGGTATCTTATTATGGTTTTTTGGTTTTTATGGTTTATTTGTATTTCCCAGATGATGAGAGAAAATGAGCACCTTTTCAAATGCCCGTTGGATCTGTATGTCTTCTTTGGAAAATTATCTGTTCAGGTCCTTGCCCATTTTAAATCAGATTATTTTATTTTCTTGGTGTGGAGTTGTATAAGTTCTTTATGTATTTTGGATGTCCTCCTTTTATCAGATATATCAGCTGAAAATATCTTCTCCCATTCAGCATATAAACCTGTAATCTTTAAGATTTTATTTATTTATTTGACACAGAGAGAGAGATCACAAGTAGGCAGAGCAGCAGGCAGAGAGAGAGGGGGAAGCAGGCTCCTTGCTGAGCAGAGAGCCCGATGCGGTGCTCTATCCAAGGACCCTGGGATCATGACCCGAGCTGAAGGCAGAGGCTTTAACCCACTGAGCCACCCAGGTGTCCCAAACCTGTAATCTTAAACCACCTACATTCTTCCTTGGAGATCAAGTGCACCCCCATCCCCCCTTTTCTCAGCTGAGGATGTTGTCTTGTCTAGAATCACACCACACACCAGGGGAAGATCCAATGATGGTATGGATGGTGTGTGCCTTCTACTTGTGGGACACTAGTGGAGACTGCACAATTTTGTTGGGGGTATGTGTGTTGCTGGAGGGGAGGACAAAGAGAGGGGTGATCATGTAGAAGGATGAGAAATAGACTCTGCTTACAATCTACATTGGTCAAACAGAAGAAACTACAGAAGATGGTATTTCCAGCCTGAGCGTGTTAGACGAGTGGAGTGCCTGTGAACACTATGGACCAAGAGCAAGTAGTTGGGGAATTCAGAGGGTGACAAAGCTGACTTGTAGAAGTCTTATATAATTACCAGCACTGGTACAAGAACAAGAGTGTTGAAAGCTTTTTGGATGCAAAGCACTATGCTGAGTGCTATACATACATTTTATTTAACGCCCTCCAAAACCTCATGAAGAAATCTACTATTGCAACACTATCCATGAGATTCTGCTTCCTAGGGCAAGGAGGAATGGGAGATTCTTCCCAGGATGAGGGAATAATGTGAACAAAGGCAGTAATGCACAAAATGTTGTCTCCTTTGGCTGTTGTCTTTGTTCTCCTATAAGCAATATTGAAATTATCTAGAAACCTTGTCTCCCCCTTCTTATTGTGTCCTCCCCCAGTCCTGTGTCTGCCTGAGGTAGTATCTGTTTACTCTAGACTAAAACCTTTAAGGGCATCTTGAGCTCACTGGGGCAGCCTGGACCTGATAAGGCACATTAGGATATATTCCACCAATTAGATTCCCATTGTTTTCTAGTGTTTAACCTGCCAGCCCCTCTTTAGCTCTAAGAGCACTGGAGAAAAGCCCCTAAACATGATAGCCCCAAGATTCAGAACCCACAGAGGTGCAGAAATAACCACTAATATACAAGAACATACACATAGCCCATGTATATATAGCACTGGATCGTGGGCCTGAATCATCCATGTCCCAGCTCTCCTGAAAGCTGTGTTGGCCTCTCTGGCTTTCCTGAGCCACAAGCCATAGACTATAGGTTTTGCTAGAGATTTGAGACCCAGGGAAATGGGAACATCAACTGAATATTTGCTAGCGTTGTGACGTTATTATATTTTTAATTGTGATCATCATATTGAGGACTTTGTTTTGTTTTTAGGAGCCCTTAACTTGTACAGATTCATATAAAAATAATTTGGTGTTAGGGAGGATGTGGGGTGGGGGAATAGGTGAAAAGATGTTCAGTCTCTGAATCAGTAAATGTTGAAGCTAGGTGAAAACTTTATAAGAATTTGTTTTACTATTTTCTCTACTTTTATATGTATATGAAATTTTCCATTATAAAATGTTTTCTAAAAAAAGGACTGGATTAGCTTCAAGGATTGAAGCATGGGGGTTAAAACAATATCCTTCAAAAGTGACAGTAAGAGTGATGGCAGAAGTAAGAACTCTTTTTTTTCCAACAAAGACCCAAAGACCCTCAGACCTCTGTGAAAGGCAAGGGCCTTGTATTCAGGGAACTTGTTAAAAATGAGCTCCACAACAAGGCAAAATCAGAAATAAGCAAGCAGAGCCTGAGACGTGACCACATTTACACATTTATTTGGGTTTAGAGAGACAACACAGATAAAATACTTTGATCATACACAAGTTTATATTTGGTAAGAAGAACAGGTTGCCACGTGTTTATATGTTTTATTTTTTTCTGTCTTTAGTAAATGGCGTAATGTTGGGGAGATGTTGATGTCTTTCAGAAACACCAATTGGGAACAGTATTTTGGAGCACAAAACTAATAAATACACAGTGTTTGTACGTAGCATCTGAAAACAGGAGAGCACGTGCAAGATGATACCCACCGTGAGGGTCCTTGATTCCCTGTCCTGCTGCTATATTTACACCCTACTATATTTACACCAGAACATCCATGTCCTTAAGGAGTGGCTCCTACTCCAAACCCCAGTGGGGACAATACCTGCAATTTGGGCCGTTTGTGACACTCCATATGGGTCTCCTCTATTCTCGGAGATGAGCGGCGTTCCCCTTGCATTTTTGTGCAATCACACTGTTCTCAAAGGAGATTTCTCAGTAGGGAGCTTAACCGAGGGCATGTTCTCTATTAGAGCAGATGTGGAGGGCATACAGTTTAGCAGAGAGAGGGAGAGAGCGCGCACAGAACAGATGTGGGTGTTGTTCTCATAATATCGATACAGCTACCACACAGAAAAAGACATGTCAATAATATATTGTACAAGCTTTTACAGCAACACAGTTGATTTGCAACACTGTACAGTTCAGAGCTAAAGTGCACAACCCCAATCTGAGGTGACAAGACAGTACTATCAATATAAGGAAGGCAACACAATTTATACACACGATTGATTTCCTCTGCTTTCTTCGCAGCCTGTGACAGTACACAAAGTCAGTACTGTTTTTGCATCTCAGATAAAGACATACCACACCTTTTTTCAAGTATTTAAAAATAATGAACACAATATTGCTGAATAAATGAAAATGGCCATGCCAAATCTGATTAACCTAACCTTAGACTTTTCTAAAATTTGGAAAGGATGGTCCCACATAAAGGTCTTTGGCACGGGAATTTGAGCTAATGTTCACAACCACCTCCCTCCCTCTCTCTCTTCCAAGTAGATTACAGACCTACTTTAAAGAATATTTTATTAGACTACTGGGACCTATTAGGCTTTTATTTACCTCCTTTGCTGGATTGTGGTTGGCAGGAATTTCACTGCATAGAATTGAGCAAGACTCCCAGCCAACTTGGGGAAGGATCTGGAAGGGACAGGGAGAGGGGAAAACAACCTATTTGTAAAAATTATTTTGCTGGAATTTCATACACAGGTGCAAATGCTTCTCCTTTAAAATTCCATCATACTGTCAAGTTAAAAAGCAGCAGCTTCTCATAGAGGATCTGTACTGCAAGGTATAGCATCCTAAAGTTGAGAGGCGTCTATCTATGTCAGGGCCCTGGGCTTCACTGTCTTCTCCAAGCAGGACAGTGGGTTTGACAGTTAGTGTCTCTGCCTCTGAGGTAGGACCTTTTGGCCTGAGGCTCCAGATAGATGGGCAGCTATGTGCTTAGTCTCAATGGCCCATTTCTAGAAAGGAAAGGGATGCTTGGCCATGAGACATAACCTAGAATGGGAGGCTATTCCTTCATGAAATTCTGGGGCACAGATAAAAGTTTTCTCCTAATCATCATAGAGAACCCATTTCCTTCCTAGACAGGAAGGACCCAAACCTATGTTCCTTTCAAGTGTCAGTGTTTTTGGATATAATGTGGGAGAAAGAATGTAGGGGCAAGCTCATGCAGATTCCAGATGGTTGGATCTTGTGGTTATATTATAGGCCATTTCTTTCTTTCTTCTCTTGTATACCTATAGTCTTTCTAAGGTACATATAGAAAGAAGGAATATTCTAAGTTGCTACCTGCAGTCTGCATAGATGAGTCTGTAGTCATCTCACTAGTACTTGAAACCCGACAAACTGTGGTCCCACAAATATCTATGGGAGCTCTTGTTAGCTTGGGTCTCTCCATCAGGTTTTCAGGGGAAGAAGAATGCTTTAAAATATTATCCTGAATTCTAAGGATCTTACTATCTCTGTATATTCTGGTCACTTTGGATCTTGATGAGTGGCAGATAAAAGAAGGTCCTAGGATGCTGTCTCAAAATTTCAGGTGAGGAGACCACTTCATGAGAGGAAAATAACCACCCATGGGATAGAAATTAATTATTTGGGATTCCAGTGATTGGGAGCCCAGCAGGAGAGAACTTTTGTGGGTAGGAGAGGGGAGGGAATGGGAATAAGCAATTACCTAGGAGGTAAATGACTCCTCCCTGGACAGTGACAATATGGTGCCCAGGATGACTTCATTGTTCTCACACAGAGATCTCTTCTCTCAAGGCCGAGTTTAATTTTCTGGGCTCACCACCTTCTGGAGTGTGCGTCATTTCTTTTTGTTCAGGCTGATTAGATTTTATTTTTATTTTCCCTAATTAATCCAAATGACCTAATAAAAGAATACGGTTTGGGAAGATGCCTCAAGAATGGGCATCCACCTTCTGTTCAAAAGCTGAACTGGAAAGCAGAGTCCAAACAATTACCCTAGTTTTAGTCTAAGATGAAGCTTGGCTTTTCATGCTTACTGAGTGGGTCTACTCAGGGTCAACTGGGCAGAAAACTCAACTGAGAAGAGAATCATTTTGTCAATCTGGTCAGTCATTTTAAAGAACCTACAATATTCTTTTGTGTTTGTTTTGTAATACTAACTTTAGAGATATGGTAAGCCCTCACACGAATAGAAAGAAGGCATCATACCTTTTAAGAGTTTTGTGGGCCTATGTTTCAAAATAACTTTACTCAGTGTTTTATTGTGCCTCCATTAAAAGAAAGAGAAAAAAAAATCTGGCTTAGTTTTTATATCTGCCCCTGCAGTTTGTATAACCCATATAAAATAAAAATCTATATGTTACAAAATAGGATTTCTTTTTAATATATATATTTTCCTTTTGTAAAATTATATGTATTTAAATACATTTGAAATGTTGCTATAGGTAAATTAGAAATTTTTTTTTCTAATACTATGAAAAAGGCAAGAGTTTGTATTGTCAACATACATTTTATATGTACTTTTTCCTTTGGACTGCACCCCAAAGAACCTTTTAGGATTCAGGGGCAATTTGGCACTATTCAATCCTACTACTCTGAAGTGAAAATAAAGCTTGATTTGCATACTATATTAAAAGTAAGGGAAGTAGTTATAACAATTTTAAGCTTTTCATTATTGATTAGAACACAGCCTTTTGTCACTAATTTTTAGAGAGGTATTCTAAATTTAGGAAAGGATTTTTAAAAGGAGCAATGTCTTGGATTTTTAAACTGTACTCTACTTTGACACCACAATATAGAAATAGATTTACTTTGGAACAAACTACAAATACATTCACACAGTTTGTAACAACTTATTTGTCTACCTAGAGAATTGAAACAGCTTAGTGAGCTATGTTATTATAAATCTTGTCCAAGGCGTTCTATTTCTTCAATCAGGAAGTCAATGTCTTGGTGAGTTGCTGCGGGGTTTGAGATGACCATGCGGAAGAAATTGACCTTGTCTCCCAAGGGCTGGTAGCTGACCATTGTGGTCCCATACTCCATCATTCTGGCTTTAATCACTGGGGCCACCTGTGGGAGAGACCAGAGCCACATGGTGATCCCTGGGGACTCTTCCTCTACTAAAAGAACCCAATATCAAGTAGCATTTTTAGTTTTTAAGTAAACAACCAGACTCATATTTGTTTCCATTAAAGGAACTGTCCCCAAGGTTTTGTTTTTTGTTTTTTTTCTGTATCAGAGCACTAGGATAATTTAATACATCCAAATTCTTGAAGGTGATAAGATGAGTGATAAATGATAGGCTCTCAGGTGCTTGCCCCCTCATCCTTGACCTTGTGAAAAAGAAAACTGCAGACCCCAATAGAGTCCTGCTAGGCCACATCACCAACCCTGGGCTTTATACCTAACCCAACTGCACTTTCAACTTCCCCCAGGAATATACTCTTAACTGGTCAGTAAGGAATCCTCTGGTCAGCACCAATATGGTACTTAGTCCCATGGCCCCTCCCCATCCCCCAAAGAAACATGAGGTAATCACCTCATAAGACCCTTTTCCCCAAAGAAAGATGAGCTCACCCAAAATAATTCTCTTTTCTGTTTGTGACTTCCTTGTCCTGCCTTTAAAAACCTCTCCCTTTCTATAACCCCTTGGAGCTCCCATCTACTTCCTAGATGGGATGCTGCTTAAAGCCAATTAGATCTTTAAAACATACTCAGTTGAGTTTTTTTATTTAACAACTTGTAGTTATGGATTTGGGAGAATGGGAAGAATTGGGTATTGGTTCCAAGGCTAAATGGTTTAGCAATATAACATTTTCAGGGAGGCCTTTTTGTTTTTTTCCTCAGTAGATGTAAAAACACTGGAAATAGAACATAGCGCAGAGAATGGTTACCAAGAGATAAGTCTCAATCTCCAGTGATGTCTGAAAATAAGCAGAATTTTGAGGCCTTAAAGCACTTTTCTTTCTTGAGACCCTAAAACCTTTGTTTCTTTTCATTCTCCTTTTGCACTATCTCAGTTTGTAAGATTTTTTGAAATACATTCCTTAATCATGATGGAGATCAGCTGAAGCCAAAAGCAGAACCCACAAAGACTTAACATTACAGACGAGGATCACAGGTGAGATTTTACCCCATGTATGCCGGAATGATTATAGCGTCAGTAGTACTCTGATGACTGTGTAGGAGATGAAGTTCAAACTCTTGAGCTCAGTGCAAAGGTATTTTGTCCCCCAACTCTGGGAACTCATCTTCCAGTGCTCACTAAAATCAATCTTCAACTCTGACAAGATGTACAGTCAAAATCCCTTGAATATGCCATGTATATTTTTCTCCCTTCACACTTGTTCTCAGTCCTACTGTGTCACACATGTTGTCTTGGCCCCGAGTCCCCCTTCTCTCCCATGTCACATCCTACACAAGACTCCCCACAGACTTACAACCACGAAAAAGCCTTTCCTGACTCCCCTAGTCCAGTAGCATCTTTTCTCTTTTAAGTGGTAAACACATGATCCTTACCCATAGCATCTGTTTATAGACTATTTCCTTGTCCTATTCCTTAATTGGAATGTAAATACATACATAGAAAAGGAATTCCAAATCCATGTGTCTGTAGGAATTTCAGGAAGAATCACATAACTATTCCTTAATTTTTATTTGTGTAATAAATCATGCTTATTCTTTACAACTGATTAAAAACAAGGTATGATAATGCTTTACTCAGTGAATTAAACTCTGATTCCATTTTCATGGGCAATCCAAGCAAAACCAGATAGAAATGGTATTTATTATTAAAGACAATCATCTCTAACTTTTCAGATAAATCAAATCAAATCAAAGGTCAAAAATTTAAATAGTAACAGTCATCATCCCAAACAGGTTTTGGTATAAAGTCAGATCAAATCCCTTCAGTTGCTGAAGCTAGCTGGCTTGGAGAAATCACAGCTGTCTAAACACATATGACTTTTGGCTGCTTCCAGAAAATGTAGATGAACTAAAATTAGCAGGAACATGGAACATCTACTTCATTGCATAATCACTAATTGCAAGTACAGAAGGAAAATAAGAGTCTGACTCTTCTGATGAGTCTATAGCATTTTCTCTTATTTTGAGATGTTGTCTTTTGATCTCATTCTTGGATTTGTTGAATAAAGATAGTCAGGAAAGAGAGGCTACATGTTGAAGGTTTCACAAAAGACCTCAGCAGAAGCTCTTGGGGCTGCTTTATGAGTTTTAGGATGTCATTTTCTCCCTTGTGTCATGAGATTTTTCAATCCCTTAGAAAACAACAACCAGAGAACTATCCCATAATTTGAATCCACTTTTTTTTTTTTTTCTTCTCCCAAGAGATCTCAGGTTAAAGTCACGGAGTCATGGAAATGTATTTTTTCACTATGTATCACAAAACCTTTCTGTTTCAAAATCTTGGAATCATGAATGAAATTTGTGGAAAAATGAAAAAGCAGATGATCTATTTTATTTTACCTCCACTGTTTTCCCTCTGGGATTGTGTGTGTGTGTGTGTGTGTGAGTGTGTGTGTGTGTGTGAAGATTTACTGGTCCCTAGACATTATACTTTAAGCGCTTTGTACTTAAGAAGAAGCTTTTGTGTGACTCTGAAAAATTACTGATATAAATAAACAAAAGTTAAGCCTGATATTTTATGTGGTTGTATTGTGAATTCCAACTCTGACTTGCTGAATTCTCTATCTTGAAAATGGAATCCCAGAAGAGGAAAAAATTAAGAGAACTCACTTTGCAATCCCCAGACTTTCAAATTTGAATTACCAACTGTATAAAAATAATTGACTTATATTCTCATGGCTCTCCCCAAGAAATTATCTCCATTCCCATCGTAGTTTATGTGATTTGCTAAAACCTGAGAGGCATCTGGAGAGAGCTGTATTAAAATGGGGGGAATTCAGAGTTGATTTTTGCACAGAAAGTGATGGGAAACCTCACTTTCTGTTCTGTTTTCTCATCTTGCCCCATCCCTCAGCCCAGCAATAATGAATTGATTCAACAATTGAAATTGGCCAGATTATTCCATGGACTCTGTCTGGTCAGTGGGTTCATAAAAGAGGTAAAGCCTGTAAGAATGGAAACATCTAATTTTTAACTAACTTGTTAAACAAAATTAGTTATGGGTAAGATGATACATACTATGGAGAAGCCACATCCTAAAACCTCAGGAAAAAAAATATTAATTCTTTCCTGTCAAATGACAACAGGCCCCTTGTTGCCTCCCTAGCATCTTCTTCAATGGGACCCTCACCCTGCCTCCCTCCCACCTCTTGAGCTTGATTTCTGGGAATGAGCAAATGAGCCAACTTCACTAACACTTCAGACATGACCATGACCCCTTCTACCTAGACACATGCACCAATAGATCCCCGTTCTAGAAGCTTTCTTCCATACATTCCTCTAGGTCAGTGGCTCTGAGGCTGGGCTGCACCTTGGGATCACCTGGAGAACTTTTAGAACCATTCCCAAGCCCGTCCAAAACCAACTGGATTAAATTCTCAGGGTTAAGACCTGGTCATCGGTGTTTTCTATAAAACTTCAGGCTGACTCTAGTGTGTGGCCAGGATTGCAAACCATTACTCTAATTTGGAAGATTGACTGAAACACCTTAACCATGCGTCGGTTTCCTCCTGAGGAGGGTCTGATCCTGGATTGTCTCCTGGCAGGTGTTCACATTTATAAGCCTTTCTGGAGGTTTTAAACCACACAAAATCCTGCTGTTTGACATAGAAGGAAATGAAGTATTCGGAAAGGTCAGTGAGGCAGCCCAGCCTTCTTCACAGTGGGGGAGAGGGCCTCCCCTGCTCCTGGCAGCGACTGGAAGAAGTCCCCTTCTTTGTGATAAATGGAAAACCAATGAACCAACTAACCCAGCCTCTGAGATCCAAATAGACATAATCATCCCTGGTTTCCTATTCCTCAACACTGGGATATGGTCCCACATTTACCTCCCTTCAAGATTCTCTTTGGATACATCGTAAACCAAATTCACCCGTGTGTAAATGATGAGACCAGGAGAGGAAAAACGATCAAGGGTATCTTACTGGCCACAGAACTCTGAATCTCAAGCCCTCTGGCTCTGGACTCAGTGATTTGGGGAAAGTGTTTTTTTTTTTTTTTCCCTTCCCTGTGCTTCAGTTTCCCCATAGGAAAATGGGGAGACAGCAGTGCTTCCCACACTAGGTTTCTCAGACTGAAGTAAGTGTTTAGACCACGATGGGGCTGCTCCTGTCCAGATATCACATCAGGAAACAGAAACTTAACTTTCACATCCTTGTAAATGCTCTGTCTGACAAGAAACATGGAAAATCCAGTCAGCCAATCCCCAAGACCAAGCCAACCCTAGCTCTGTACTTATTTTGTTGTTCCTCACTCATTTTTTTCTTTCTTTTTTAGAGAGAGTGAGAGAGGGTGCATGAGTGTGTGCACACAAATGGGGAGGGGAGGAAAGGGGGAGAGGGAAAGTGAGAATCTCAAGCTTGTCCCACACCCAGTGCAGAGAGCGACACATAGCTCCATCTCACGACCCTGAAATCATGACCTGAGCCAAAATCAAGAGTTGGACACGTAACCAACTGAGTCACCAGGTGCCCCTCCTTATTCATTTTCTATCTTTCTCTTCTCATTCCTTGTTCTTAATCCTATAAAAGCTTCTTGCATTCCACCCCATTCTTCAGTTCTGTGGGTCCCTGGGAATGGAGGCTGCCTGCTTCATGAAGTGTTAAATCAAGTTTGCTTACATCACCTAAATCGTCTTCTTTAGTCATTTCTAACACTTACGATAGCTGAGTGATCTAATGCTAGATCAGAGTTGAGCCTGGGACACAGTGTGCACTCTACACGGTGGCTGTTAGTATTGTTCCTGCCCTGGTCCCTTCTGGGGTTCACCATAGCTCTAAAGACTCCACAGGGTGGCCTTGACCTTAGCATCTCAAGGGGGCCACAGTGGCTCCGATTTCTAACCATTGCCAGCTCCTGAAATCTCTTCTGTGCTTCTAACGGTTTTGCTGGGCAGGTCAGCCAACTTGACCAAGGGTTCTTATTGCATCATGAATGGAAGCAAAACTGTCACCTGATGGCTTATTTTAAGATAGCATAAACTTGCTCTCAGAAGAAAAGAAGCTGGGGCACCTGGGTGGCTCAGTGGGTTGAGCTGCCTTCAGCTCGGGTCCTGATTTCAGGGTCCTGGGATCGAGCCCCGCATCAGGGTCTCTGCTCAGCAGGGAGCCTGCTTCCCCCCCTCTCTCTGCCTGCCTCTCTGCCTACTTGTGATCTCTCTCTTTGTCAAATAAATAAAAAAATCTTAAAAAAAAAAAAAAAGAAGAAAAGAAGCAAACAGAGTAGTCAAAATTCTAGATATACCAGCTCCAAATGACTTTGTTTCATAGGAGTCCAGGAAGGGGAGCGCACCTGTGCACCAAGGTCAAGGTTGGGTTTCTCCTAGAGACATATGCACGGCAGAGAGACGCCATGCATGTGAAAAGCCCAGTGGATGCACCGAGGTCTGGACCAGAAGAGCCTGTATCCCTTACCTTTGAGAGGCGGCTCATTCTCTCTTCATTGTCTTCTAGGACACGCAAACTTGGTGGCACGTACCAGAAGCAGACATTTGTGTGCTGAGGCTACAAGTAAGAAAGTAAGATTCACACTAGGCCCATCGTGGCAATTTAGAAGATCCCAAGGGCATTTCAAATCTATTCTGCAGCTTCCCAATAGAATTCCTATTTTAAACCCATAATCATTTTGCAGTGCCTGACTCTCATCACACTATACAGAGTTAGTTTTGTGAGTTTGCGTTTTTTATGCCAGCTTAGAACAGCGACCCCATCAGCCCAGCTTCTCCTTTGTAATGGCCCCACTTACCTGGACAGTACGTGATTGACATAACAACAACAAAAAAATCAGTGATAAGTACTGGAAGTGACTAAACTTTCTGGGACCGTAGAGATCAGAATACGTACCTTTCCATCAAACACCATTTCGTATCCTTCTCGGTTTTTTATAATATTGTATAAATACTCTGCCAGCTCCAAGCACTTATCAATATGTGCTTCAAACCCAGTGGTGCCCTGAATGAGAGAAGAAGAAAGCTCAGCAGGCAGCCTGAGGAAGGTGGGTGGGCTCCCTGTGGACTGATCTCTCTGGAGACTGAGGCTTTCTCTGCAACTTCCGCCTCAGCTCTGCCCCATACTTTCCTCGCTCAAGACTGTGCTTCTGAGGCTTTTCTGGTGATTATTTCTCCCTTGATGCTCTCACCTCAGGTGTTTTTGTTCCTTTCATGTCATCACAGCTCCCTACAGCGGATTCCTTTTCTTCCTGAGCCCCCATTCTCTAGGCAATTATTTTGATTACTCGAGGGGAAAATTTGCCTCTGCCATTCTGAGGGTAATTATGGAAGTCATTAATGACAGGAGGCTGGGCTCTTCTCTTCCTGTGGAGAAGCAACATCCTCAGAGGGCCCTCTGCAGGCCTGCTTAGCCCCTACCCATCATGAAAAGGTACCATTTCCGGATCCCACTTTTGTTCACCAACATACCCCCATTATAGAACAAATAGGCTAGGTACTCAATGAATATTTGTTGAACAAATGAATGTACGAAGCTCAAGGGGCACACCGGTGCTTTGTTAGCCTGTCATTCTGCAAAAAGCTCATTAGATTTCTCCTCTGGGGATAAATGACTCATAGGTTCGTAACGGGGAAACATTATCAGGGCGGTCTTTCAGTTCCCGGCACTAGACGCCCAGGACCAGGACTTGGGAAAACAACACTAGAGCCGTGGACTGGAGCTGTTTGACGGACCTTGGGACACTCCAGGGAATGACTTTTCAAAACGGCTTTCCTCCTAACTCCTTCAGCATTTGGGGAGGGCTAATGGAAAGCTTAGACAAACAGCTAATGCTCAAACAGCTAATGCTCAGATTAATCAACGAGTGATTAATCCAACATGGAAACTGGAGAGAGCAGCTGTAATGGCTGTAAGATGGGCCTACACTCCTACTGATGGTCACGTCCTCTCAGCTAAAAGGGAGAGGCAGCACAGCCAGTGCTCTAACATCTGAAGCCTTAAAAAATCTGATGGGTTCAGGAATCATTTCTACGGAGATTGTTGCCCTCGTTGATTGGTCAAAGAGTCTGACTGATTCCTGATGACCCCAAGGAAGGACCCTGATCAATGCCTGAACACTTGGGCCAGAACCTACACCATGTACTCTATGACTTTGTGGTTCCAAGGATTTGGGGTTGGTTTGGACTGACCTTGCTGTTTGGGTATGCTGAGGAGGGACCCTGGGTAGGAAGGAGGGAAGTTCATTGCTCTCTAAACTTGACCCTTTGGGCCAGTCCAAGGTTGGCTTTAAACTTGCCTGTACCTGATCCAAGATATGGCTGGAACCAGTAGGACTCTGACCCTGTCCAGCCCCATGGCCTTGGCTAATCTTACTGGTCACATGGGAAGTGTGATGCCTGTGTGATATCCCTCCCACATGGGGACATGGTAACATAAAACGAATTCTCTGAAAAGAAGTTTGGTTGTATTGCAAAGGCAGGGGGATTATCACAGGCTGGGGGTGGGGCGGCAATTCCTGTAGTCTTTGCTAGTCTGGGACTTTACTTGAGAGGATAGGGAGTAACCTGGCCATCCCCTTAGTTGTAAGCTAAAGAGGTACAAGGCGAAGTGCACAGGAAACTCCCGTGTGCTCTTAGGAGCCTGGCCTCTCTTCATGTTGGATATTTATAGGAATAAGACCCATGTTTTATTTTCAGGGGTTTGAAGGCTTTTAGGAAATTCTCCAAAATGTACTCATTCATCAAATACTTGCTGAGCACTTGTCATATGCCACACAGTTGTTACTCTGACAATGACAACAGCCCCTGGAACACTCCATCAGGCATGGTCTCTCCATGATCTGGGTTGCTATGAAGGAAGCTTGAGGGCTCTGAGGGGCGCGTCTAAGTGGAAGTCTAGACTCCAGCATCCAGGTTACGTGGAAGGAGCCGCAGGAGAAGGATGATTTCATTTCCTCCCTCTTTGTCCACACACTTAGGATTGGTTTAGATTGACCTGGCCGAAATGCATGTTCCACAAGGTGTTTCTCTCATTCACTACTGTCTCCCTCTTACCAGCAGGGCTGGCATACACTAGGTGCTCAATGTGTATTTGTTAAATGAGTGGATGAATGGATGGGAGTCTCCTTTTAATCCCTGGGGCAGTGTTTTTACACAGTATGCTGTGAGGAGTCATCTGTATTGACATCAGGTTAAATGTGTTAATAATGTAGCTCTGCTGGTTGAAATCCTACGTATTCTACTTATCCTGGTCTACACACTTCTCCGAGGCGACCTCTTAATAAATCATGCTTGGCTCTCAAACTAGGAATGGGCTCCCCATCCTTTAACTTCTCAAGGTGCATCCTCCCCCCCCTTCTTCTCTCTCTCTCTCCCTTCCTTCCTTCCTTTCTTTCTTCCTCTTTCTCTCTCTCCCCTCTTTCCTTCTTTCTTTTGTTTGTTCATTCATTTTTTTTTTTTCTATCTACACTGAGTTTTAACCACTGGGGTAATGTGTGAAATCTGGAAAATAATCATCAAGGCTTATTTAGCATTCTCTAATAAAATACAGACAAAATGAAAGATCTCCTGATTAAGAACAGAGCTGAGGGCAGGCACAGGACCTTTGCTCATGACAGGCTTACATATGGTATTACTGTCTGGAAAGCCTGCCAGCATTCAGATCAAGAAGCTGTTTGTTTTTTTTTCTTTTCTTTCATACATTTGCTTTCATCAAGTTCTCTTGGACTTAATGGGATGGCTGTGGTCAGTACATTTAGCTCCATCAGTCTTTAACAGATGAAGGATTATTTATAGTCAGGTTACTAGTTTTCCTGTGGTTTGTACTGCCAAGGAGAAAACGTGGAAATGGGGATTCACTTGAATACCGCAGTCTCCAGGCATCTCCGATAATAGAGGGTTTACTGCTTAATGCTGCCTCCTCCTCAGTATTGTTTTTGCAAGATCATTTTCTCATGCCCGAGGGGATACAAGACAGAATGTCACGGTCAACACTTTCTCAGTTCTGCTGCAGGCAGGCTGACTTCTTCCCTGGCTGGCAGCACGGAGAGCTCTCACAAGAGCGTGATGACCCTCCCACCTCCTCTGGATTATAGGATGGAGCTTAGGGCTTTTATCATTATTACCACTTTGTTTTGCAAAACATGCAGCTTTAAGTAAAAAAAGAAATCGAAGTTGTCTAGATGCTTAAGGTTTGCCATGAGGCATTAAAGGAATATGCATCCCTAGTTTATGGGTAAATTATGCGGCTGCTGGGATAGTTCCTTTTTTCTCTTTTTTTATTCCCTCTCCTGATGCCTTGATTTCGGCACGTTAGAGCTGAGCTCCCCGGCCCTTATTTCAGGCTTCAGTTGTTCCTGTTGTTTCCTTCACACCTGATGGCCTCCACGTTGTTTCTCTTATGGCCAAAGACTGCCCCATGCTGGTGAGGAGGCTTCAGCTGGGAAAGGAGCAGCAGATGCTGATGAAGCGTGAGAGGAACACTTTTGGGTAAATACAGCTAATGATCATCCTCTTAATAGAAACGCCGCAGGCAAGGGGGGCAAAAAGGATGATCCTGAGCAATATTTAGAGATCACGCTTTCCTCAGCTACCTAGCTCATGTTCATGTTCATCCCTTTTGATTCCCACCAATCAAGGAAATGAAAAAACTACTCATTTTCGAACAGTTGGAGAGGACGCCAATAATTCCTGTTCCCGATTTACTTATTTTTGCCAAAGGAGACATTCTAAGTCTCATCTTGGGTGGCGGGGACCCAGTAAATGTCCTTGTCAGGCTCTCATCTTTCGAGAGAGGAGGGGGCTCGTGCCCATCCCACCGTCTTTCCCAGTTCAACAACTCGGGGCAGCTGCTCGATACTTAGCACCACTTAGAGGAAATTCAGGTAGGGCAAAGACTTACGGAGGCTCGTCTCAAGAATATGCAAGCCCAGCCATCCCCAGAAACCCTCTGAGAATCTTTTCTGCATTCAGCGAGAACATCTTTCTAGTTAAACCGCCTTTTCCCCCGAATAGCTCTAAAGAATCTTCCGTAAGATAGTTGCTAACTGAATGATTTCACTCCCAAACCCCCTCTGTTTCCTGTTAGCTATCTGCCTCTCTCCCTGCTCAAGGCTTTCCGTTGACTTTGAAACGTCTTACAAACCAAGACGTAGGGAACTTTCTGCTGTAGACGTGGTTCCTTACACAGACGCAATCTGTGGCCTCAACCTGGCAGGTCACACGCGTGCCGACCAAGTTATCTGTGCGTCCTCTGGGATGGGAGGGCACCCCCGTTTGTATGGGCTACTGAGAAAGCATCCAGCCCAATCTGTGGCCCCTCCCTCAAACACTGAGTGCCTCGGGGGTACCAGCCTCCCTCTAATCTTGCCCTTTCTTTTGTCAAGTCTCCCTTGTGGAGTCTTTGAGCGGTTGTGTTTTCTAACTGTGTGTCTCTGGCATGTCCAGCTGGCTCTGGCCATTGCCTCCTGTAGGAGGTAAATGAAACCAGGTGGGAAGCCACTGATTTGTGACACCAAAATTAGGAATCTGGTCCAAATGAGAAAGAAAACTCTTTGACCTTTCCAGCCTGCTTACAATTCGGCATGCAGGTATCCTCTTTGAAGGCTGCCTACAGAGTTTGTTTCTGAGAGGAGTGATCAAGTGTGGTTAAATTCTGGGGTAAACAGAGAAACCTTACAAAAGGAGGTCACTGGGTAGTTCCAGGTTTTGTTTTTTGGTTTTGGTTTTAAAGAGATGATAGACGATATCCCTTGAAACGTCAAAAGGAAGCTATCGTGGTGCGTTCTGTCCTCCAAACAAAAAGAGGGCATCAGACCTCCCAAGGGATCCATCACTGGGTAAAAGCCCAGAGTTGAGAGACGACAACAGCAAGATCACAACAACAACAAAATGCCTCTTAAGAACCCAGATGTTCTGCCGTAGAAAGCAACCTGTCTTTGTTTTCTAGATGAGTGAGCACGGGAAGCAATTTGGCTTCTGTCCTTGCCCGTGCGGAAGGCAGGTATCTAGATACGGGATTAAAGAAGCTTAATCTCGGGTGATTTTCAATTTGGAAATCCATTTATAACCTCATAATTTTTAACCTCACCAGATACAGTTTCTGTCTTTAGTCAACACTCGGACGGTCGACCTGTGCTTACCTTTGCCCTCCACATTAGCCATAATTTGAAAACATCGACGTGGCGTCCGCACTGTAGGGCCTTGTCCCCAGTGTCGTAGGACAGGTCGTAGTGCTTGTCTTGCTGGAAGAGGTAGGAGGCATGCATCTGGTTGCAACTCTGCATCAATCCCTGGAAGAGAAGAGAAGACTTAGGAAAACCTCCTGACTTGATCAAGTACTCCGTTAGATTTACATTGTGATGAAAATGATTAAGGAAAAAAAATTTTTTTAAAGGGACACCGAATTTCCTGGAGGAAGAAAGCAGGAAGAATCAAGTGTTGGAAATGGGGCCAATCGGTACCTTGGCTCAGCTGATTGAGTGACTCTTGATTTCAGCTCAGGTCATGGTCTCAGGGTCGTGAAATTGAGCCCCACGTCAGGATCTGCAGGGAGCCTGCTTAAGATTCTCCTTTCTGCCCCTCCCACCACTGTTTGTGTGCTCGTGCAAGCGCGCATGTGCACTCTCTCTCGCTCTCTCTCTGAACAGGTGAAAAATAAAATAAAATGGGACCAATATCCAGACAGGATGAGCTGTTGCGATAGGACAGTTCTGTGAGATAAATGGCTCAGGGTCAAATGTAACTACAGGTTAATAACAAGGGCATATATACTTTAACTCTCCATTTGAGAGAATGCTTATTTCTTTAGCAACAATCATAATCAGGGACACCTGGTGGCTCAGTCGTTTAAAGCCTCTGCCTTCAGCTCAGGTCATGATCCCAGGGTCCTGGGATCGAGCCCCACAACGGGCTCTCTGCTCCATGGGGAGCCTGCTTCTTCTCTCTCTCTCTGCCTGCCTCTCCGCCTACTTGTAATCTCTGTCTGTCAAATAAATAAATAAAATCTAAAAAAAAAAGTAACAATCTTGATCAGAGTATAGTGTTCATTCTTTGAGGGAACATCCTGCTGTTTTGGTTTTGTTGTAATTAAAATACTTTAAAATCCCTTTGGTTCCGTAAAATACTAATAGCCAGATTCATCTAGTGTTTCATCCGTACTTAGTTCAAGGACTTTATCATTTGGCTATTAGGGCTTGAGTCCTCTTTGGAAGTCATAGCTTTTGAGATAGTTTATTGTTATTGTTATGTGCTGAAATCTAAAACAATAAAGACATTGTTATCCTGAGATGTCTAAAGTACCCAATCTTTCAAATGCCATAGTCTCCTTTCAAGAGTGGTTACTACTGCATTTTTATACTCAGTTGCTTGGGGTGGTTAGAGTGGGATGTTTCACTGCCAATGATCATTAATTTGTCCCAGCACCAGAAGCTTAGTATGGAAAATGGGTGGCAAAGTGACTGAACTATTCCAAAGAACAGTGAATGAATCATGCGCTCTGACTAAAACAGCATTGTCAGTCTCCTCACCAGAAACCCCACCACGTTTCCATTTGTCATGAACCACAGGAAGCCTTCAACTCTTTCATTATCTACAATATAACTGTGATTTTACAAAAGCTTTGGCATTTGTTGTTTTTTTTTTGCTTGTGACTCATGACAAGAGAAGACTAAAACATGATCACCTAGTTGAAGTTAGAAGTGAGAATTCTTTAAAAAAAAAAAAAAAGTACCCAATGAAAACATAATATTTTGCAACTACAATTTAACTGAGTCCTGAAAGACCAGATGGTAGGCAATGAAGCTGGGTTTGACCCTATAGTTTGGGCTTCATTTGCAGTGGAATTCATTGAGAGTGAGGGAAATTAAATAATTGTAATAGAGCCATAGAATGACAATGGATTTGAAAAAGAAAATTCACTTGAAGACCAATAAGATTGAATATTGCAATAGGTGTTTCTGTTTCATTTTGTGGTCACAGAAGCTTGACATGCAATCTCGCTCACAAAAAGGTGCCACCAGTCGTAAGGGAGATCACCCCAGGGTCTGGAATGATGGATAGAGCAGACCTGGGATAGGAAAAACAACTCAAAACACAGGCTCTCCCAAAGGCTGGCTAGCACCAGTCTCACTGTACAAAAGGATAAATGAAAGTCATGTTTTTCACATAAAGGGCCCTGATGAGACAATACTCTGATTCCAACCCGTCAAACAGTTATAGACCGTTATGTGGCCAATGATTATAAGTGCACTAATAATTGCTGTGCTGTCAAACAGTTGATATAAAAGAAAGTCCCAGGGTCAAATAAATTAAGGAAACTCAACATCATAAATCCCTTCTTCAAGGATAGTTTCAATATATATCAGCACATTAAAGGCTCTGATATGCCCTGAGGTAACAAAACTTCATTTTCACTCTTTAGTCTAAAATATCCCAAGTTTTTTTAAACCCTGAACTCTCTTATCACAGAATACTTAATACAGTCCTGTACAGCAGCATTATTTCTTATATCTCAATAAGGAACATGCTGTCAGAGCATCATAACTCTTGGATTTGGAAGGGATCTTAGAGCTTATTTTACTCCTTCTCAGTGAAGGAATCTTTTCTATCCTCTTACTAATAATTGGCTGTCCAATCTCCAATCACTTCTCCTGGCAGTGAATTTATTCCAATGGAAAGCATTCATTGCCTTTGGGGAAGCTTAATTTTTAGAAGAGCTTTCCTTTGATTGACTGGAAGTCAGACCTAAAGTCATGGCACATTCTGATTGAGCCAGCAAATCAAACCCAGTACTACTGACCCATTTCCCCAAAGCTGCAAGGAAAAAATGAATCTCTTCCCCTTGCAAGTCATTTAAACTGTGAAGGCTGTCATCCTCCAGCCCTTCAAGTTTCTTTTTCTTTTTAAAGTTAAACATCCTTAGTTATTTCAGTCATCCCTCTCACATGTTCACCAGTTGTTTTCCACTATTGGAACCCTAGCTTGATGGGATCCCATAAGCAATCTGGCCTTGACCTAAGCAACCACTTGAGGCATGGTTTATCCAGAGGACCGTGGGAGACTACAACCTTCCTCATCCTGACACTCCACTTTTTTTAACTCATTAATATTTTATGAATGTTAAGTTTCTCTTGACTCATGGTTGACCTTGCTGAGTACAACCTAACACATTCTATGCCCTTTTCACAAGTACAATGTAGCTAAACCCATATATCTATGGCTGATTGATTTTCAACAAGGGTGCCAAGACCATTCAATGGAGAAAGAGTTGTCTCTTCAATAAATGGTAGTGGGAGAATGGAGTATCTGCATGCAAACTCCTACCTTACACCATACACAAACATTAACTCAAAAGGGTTCAAAGGCCTCAATTTAAGAGCTAAATTTAGCCCTGTTTTCTTAGAAGTGTTGGCAAGGATGTAGAGTAAGTTGGAACTCTCATGTATGCTGGTGGGAAAGTAAAATGGTTCAGCCACTTTGGCAGTTCCTCAGTAAGGTAAATACAGAATTACCGTATGATTCAGCAGCTTCATTCCTCCATTGAAAACAGGTCCGTCATTTGAAAACAGAATGTCAGACAAATAATTGTCCACAAAGACTCAGAGTAGCTCTATTCATAACAGCCAAAAAGCAGAATTAACCCAAATGTCCACTGAAGGATGAATGGATAAACAAATTGTGGTATATTCACATAATGGAATATTGTTCAGCCACAAAAGGAATGAAATTTGGGTACGTGCTATGACATAAATGAACCTTGCAAACATTATGCTAAATAAAGTAAGCCTGACACACGCACAAACACACACAGTACAATTTAGCCATGTATGAAACATGCCTGTCTTATTGACTCAAAATAGAACCATCCTATACATGGAAATAAGAACAGGACTTCATAATTATCCTCATGAACAATTCCCCCTTTCTGGATATGGCTCACTGTTCTAGCCTGTGAATCATCCTGTGTTTGGATTCTGTCACTACACACATTTACTCTACCAAACTCCACTGATGGACTGGGCCATGAATCAGGAAAGACGTACCTCTTCTCTAACCAGGAGAGCTGAGCACTGCAAAGGGACGCCCATCATCTTGTGGGGGTTCCATGTCACAGAGTTGGCCCTAAAGGAAAGAAATGGATTTAAGAGGGTGACACCTATGACTGGCTCAGACTACAAGGTCCTGTGCCAGGACAACAGAGCTTTGAGGTTCTTACCACTATTTCTCATGCTAAATTTACCAAAAAAGATGTGGACTCTTAAATCTACAACCTTTTTTCGTCTCCAGAGAGAGTAAGCAAGTGTGGGCATCTTCTTGGGCTCCCTCCCTTAGCTCCCATGGAGGAATTTGGCCAGCCTCCATATGGTCTGAGAGTCCCTTTGAGTGACTGGGGTCATCCACTCCCGCATCCTGCCTTTGGTGGCCAAGGAGGAGGGCACCATGCAGGTGAAGGGGCTATCCTCGCGTGCCTCTGTTATTCCTGGAGGCATTACCATAGTGGCCTGGGGCTCAGAGCGATGGCTCATTTCACTGCTTAATTTTGTTCTTCTCACCCATCTTCTCCTTCTTCCTCTTCAAATGAATTACATTTTTCATATCTGTCCTTTCATAATAGCTTCTAGTTCATCCCATTTCCATCTCTTCTCTGACCTAGATATGTCCTTCTAGACCACAGGTGGGATATGCTATGGCTTCCATAGCAGTTTCCAAACTATTTTATCCCAGCACACTTGAGAACCATGATGCTCTCCCATCAGTGGAGATGCAATCTCTCTCTAAGGTCTGATGTCTGAGGACATCAGACCTCCCATCAATAGAGATGGTCAAGGATTTATGCTTTTTGAAAGTCTAAACCATAGTTCTGTGTCATATTCTTGTAGTAGTAGTAGTAGTAGTAGTGATAGTAATGATAAAAATAATGATGATGATGGTGATGATGATGCCATCAGGGGTGCGTACAGGCCATATGTTCAGTCTTGTGTCCTCGCTCTATCCCATGCCCATTTTCATTTTTCATGACACCATTTTCATCACACCAGATTATTTTTTATTCTCAGAAAATTCTATTTTTATGCTCCTGGGTCTCTTAATGCTATCTCTTCCTGGAATTCATCTCTCTTTGCTTCACTTGGATAAGTCTTACTTATTCTTAAGTAAGATCAGTGATCAAGTGTTATTTTCTCTTCAGACTTCTTCAACTTCATTCATCTTCTCTCCCTCACTCCCCCTGAACTGCTCCAACCAGCTCCCCCTCCAGCTCCCAGGGAAAGGAAGTGTCCCCTCCATGAGTGAGTTCCCATTGCTCACTTGATGTATTTATCAGGCCAGATGAACCCCTGTGCATGTCTTCTGAGAGCCTAAGGGATTCCTTGGGGATGAGAATCATGAATGTGACCTTGTTATTAACAGATGCACAAGAAGAGGGAAAGTAGAGCAACCCAGGGCAGCTGTCTCCAAAGTGCTGTGGGTTGCTGCCTGTTCTTTGGCTGAACAACAGACTTGGGCTCACCTGCTCCCTGCACTCAAGGTCCAAGAACCTTGGGAAGAAATGAGAAGCTGGGAATGAATGGGCATCAGCTGGCCAGTCAGAGAATGCTTACTGGCCTGGGGATCTCATCTGAATCAGTGAATAGGCCAGCTCATCTTCTGATACACAGTAAGCATTAAATAAGGTTGGATCCTACTATTAATTCCAATTCTAACATTTACATACTTTGTGCCATTGAGTGCATATACACTGCTTCTAGAATATTCCACAGCTTCATGCCTAATCCTGACGAAACTCAGCTTTTTCAGTAATGACACCTGATGGGGAAGAAAATTTCTCTGACTGGAGGTGTTTGTTTAGATGCAGTGGCCAACTTGTCTTTCAAAGACTAGAGTAGATTCTGCCAAGCCCCACAACGACCTTCACTGAGTTCCCTGTCCTGCCTCTCTCGCAGAGGGGCTGCCTCATAAATGCAGCAAAAAGCTGCACAGAGTGATTCAGTGACATGCCCTTAGTCTGTTTGAGAAATGTTGGCAATTTATGAAAAACAGCCCCAGGTTCATTTCAAAGTGTTTTGCTGTGAGGTTCAGTCACGTGGCTTCTTTGATTTCCTCTAAGTTACAGAAAGCTGACTCCCTGAGGGCTGTCTTAAGACCTATCCTTGTGCCCTCATTTGGCCCTCAAACTTAGCAGACCCCACACAAACTCATTAACTTGCCCCTCCTCATCCTTCCAGATCTGTTCTTTCTCGTGTGTTCTGTGCCTCAGCGCCTCACACTGTCTTCCTCCCACACATCCAGCTCTCCAACCTCAGCGTGTTTAGTAACATTTTCTTCTTCCTGCTCTCCCGACATCTCCCCTTTCAGTTCTAGATTTTTTTTTTTTTTAAACTCCGTATAAAGTGCTTTATTCTGTAGTACTTCATGCTTGGAATTTTGGAGGAAGACGTTTCAGAGAGTACAGCAAGCTAATGCTAGCTGGGTCAAAGATATCTACAAAAAAATGTTATCCATACTTTTCAACATATTATAGAAGTCTGTAAAGTCTGTCAAGATGGAAAGTCTCGGGTGCCTGGGTGCCTCAGTGGGTTAAGCCTCTGCCTTTGGCTCGGGTCATGGTCTCAGGGTCCTGGGATTGAGTTCCACGTCAGGCTTTCTGCTCAGCAGGGAGCCTGCTTCCCCCCACCCCCCCGTCTCTGCCTACTTGTGACCTCTCTCTGTGCATCAAATAAATAAATAAAATCTAAAAAATAAAAGAAGGAAAGTCTCTGGAATTTCTTAAAGTATTGGAAAATAAGTAAAAAAGAAGTATTATATACAAAGAGTGTCAAAGCATTCTGTAATATATAAGACTCTTCGTGTAACTAGAAAGCGACTTATCTATATAAACACACAGAATGTTTCAGAAGCAGGGGAGGTCAACAGAAGCACCGGCTCTTTGAATTATATGTGGTCCTGTAGATGAGCAGGTCCCTGTGATGGTTCGTCCTGTTGCCTGGATAAGCCACACTGCTCGGTCCCTCCATTCATTGTCCTCCCAGCTGCTACCGCCCGGTTTGTACCCTCAGCTTCTCCCACCACCACTACCCCTCACCTGGACACTCTCAAGAGCTCAGTGGCTTCTACTGGGTCCCCGGCCTCCATCTCCTCTGAATCCAGAGCTGCCTCTCCAAAGGGCAGGTGAAATCATATGACTTGTCCCCTCACTGCCCCCTACCCCCTCCGCCCCCCGCCCATGGCTGCTATGACAAGGGCTTTCATTCCCCACTCCAAGCTGAGATATAGAATGCTGTCCATGCAAAGTAGTGGCTCCTACAGCAGGGACCCTCAGCTCAGGGATTTATGGATCCTGACTTGGCCCTGTGGGCAGGCCCTCCATTGAGACTCCCTGCGCAACACCTGTGGACACCCCACGAGCTTCCTAGTCACAGCCGTGAGTCCCACAGGCTCCCTCCAAACTTATCTGGACTTCTTCCAACGACCCTTCCAGACCTCCGTGCCCTTGATCTTCACCTTGAGCATCCATCTTCCACTTCCATCTGAGGCAGCACAGTGCCCGCACCCGTGCGAAGGCTTCCTTGAATGACCCTGTTTAGCAGGAATCATCCCTTTCTCTGTGCTTGCCAATCAGCTCGCTTGTCTGCCTCTGAGCCTTTACTTCCTCTGCCTTGAAGCTGAAGCCATCACTGGCTGTCACTCTTCCCTACTAGATTCCAGGCCCTCTGAAAACAGGCTTCACACCACAGTCGTCTCTGTGCCCTTGCTGGGCCTTCTGCTGTGCCTTGCATAGGGCAGAGGTTCAATCTCTTCCTGAACTGAATTTCTAAACCCCTGGCTCTTGGGGCAGGAGAGAGGACAGTGATTGGTAATAAGGCTAAAGTTGTTCCAAGACCTTCAGCTGGGCCAGAAAGGCTTCAGAGGGGGCTGCCACAGGGGGACACTGCAGGCAAGCCGCAGCCTGCTGCGGAGAGGGATTAAAGGAGACAGTTGGCCGTGCACAGAAGCATACTTGGGAGTGTTAGGGCCCTTGACACACCCTCTCGGCTATGCTGTCTCTAGAAAATTTGACAGCATTAGCAAGGAAGAAAGCCGTTACTAAGAATTTGGTAGGTACTTGCACGGAATGCCGGGTAGGCTCTGGTTACTTATGCCATTCTGTTAAGAGGATGACTGTCTGGGCACGGGAGCACCTCCTGATCTGGGGACAAGAATTGACCACCAGTTTCCTCCCCTTTAGAGTGAATCTTTGGGAAACTGGGTACCCCCAAGGGAGGCAAATTTCTATCCCTAAACGAATGCCCATGTCCTTATGCCCAGGGGTTTCCACTGGCTCTACAACCGCATTCAGCAAAGATGGTGTGCCTTTTGCCAATAAGTTAGCAAGACAGACGGTCTCGGGCATGTAGGTGGCAGTCCCTCATTTTCGGGGACTTCATCTTTGGCTCTTGGACTTTGTAGATCCAGTTACAATACGGTTTCAGAACTGCAGCAATTGGAGGAGACTCCGTGTTCCATGCTGAATGTTCGAAGCTTTGCCCCGAAATAATAGTCTTTAGTTCAAAAGTGTGTGGGTGTTTATTTTTCCAAGGCTCAGGGTGGGTAATTTGGTGAGCTTTTAAGTCATCACTGGGGAGGACGCGCCAAGGCTTTCAGCACTCAGTCCTAGGTGGCATTAAAGGTACAATAATAGACGCTTACTTTTCATGCCAGTCGGAAAGAAACTGAAGGAGAGAAAGTACTGTGGACAGGCCAGCTCTCAAAGCACGAGAATTCGGTTTTGCTCTGATCATCTGAGCAGGCACCTTCCAAGCTGTTCTTTTTCCCCTCCCATCATCTCTCCCTGTGTAGTGCGTTGCCTTCTCCTTTAGTGTCTGCTTTCGTAGAGATCTTCATGGCAAAAAGGAACTGGGCAAGGGAGGAGCCCCAGAGGACCAGAGGCAGAGGCCAAGACTGGCTCAGGCTGGCTGGGGCTCTGCCCGCCTTCAGCCTCCCATCGCTAAATGGGAACCTGCCATCAGGGCACGGGGGTGCTCCCTGCCAGCGCCTGACCCCAGTCGGCTGGCTCAGGGACAGCTGCCCTGCTGAGTTGGGCCTCAGCTGGTCTCTCGAGTCTTCCACGTGCAAGGCACTGTACCCCTGACTCTGCCTCGGTGACCCCCATCCCGTCGGGTTCTCTGCATGTGAATGGGTCTGGGCATCGCGGAGCCCGCCCTGCACATCCATCCCAGGCTGGCCGCGCGGCGTCTGTGCCGACAGGTGCTCCCACGCTCCATCGGCTCCTCGCCTCATCCCGGAACAGAAACTGTGCCAAGATGTCTAGCGGCAGATCCAGTGGGAAACTCTTCCTGGGCGGCATCTGGCTACTCGGCAGGGCATGGTGGGCCCTTGGCGGTCTCTTGGACAAGCTCAGGCTTTCTCAGTTAGTTGCCTGGAGGGTCAGAGCTCACCTCTGCTGTTGACCTGCCAGGATGTCATGGGAAAACTGGGGAACGCCGAGCTTCCTCTGTGCACGGTCCGCAAAGCCCAAGGCTGATTTTACATTCTATCATTTTTTTTCCCTTTTCTCTTGAGCTCTGAATATGTTTTACGTTAATTAAGTATCACCTCTTCACCTCTTTTAGGTTTAGTAGCTTTTCTCAACCCTCTACTGCTTAGTCTCTGGGGGTGGGGAAGCTGCTTTACGGCATCAAAGCTACATAAAAAAAAGGAAATTATCATGGGAATGAAAGCATGAAATGATGCTCTCACAAGTATGTTTTGCTTTCCACTGGCCATATTAAACCCCAAACCCATGCTTTCAATGCTGACAAATTATACGGTGCAAAGTCACTTGTTTGTTTACTTGCAGCAGTGGAAGTTATCCTTTTAGGATAGATCTTCTCCCCAGGAAACTATGACCTGTCAATAGGTTTTAAATAATTTTGGTTGTTGGTTCAGAGATTGTAGGAAGGTCATTCCTGAGTCCTCTGGCCAACCATGGACTCCAGGTAGGAATCTCTATTTGAGAAACATTCTGCCTGGGCCACTGGATAGAGCATTGGATGTCTTTCTGTTACTTATACATGATATTCATGGGTCTATGACCACACAGGTCAAGGCACACGAACACTGCAGAGAATGGGCTCACGTGTGTTCCAAGAGTGCTTAGAACTTGTATACAACTTGCTTTTCACATTTAGCTTTCACACATTACATCGTTAACAAGAAAAGTGGGTGTACCTCTCCACGCCGCTCAGTTTCCATTTGTGCTTCCGGGACATCAGTAATCCCCCACCCCAAGCTGCCTGCGAAAGGAAGATCATAGAAGAACAACTCACACTGTGAATCAGGGGAGGAAAAGAAGACTGGTAACCACTATGCAGGGGAACACTGGGGGATCATGGAAATCTTCCTGGTTCAGCCTTGCTAAGTAATAGTGGATTAGGAACAAGCCGTCTGCAGATAACAGCTGGTCTTTGAACCACACTTTGAGTCATACTGGTCTAAGCTTAAATTGCTTCTATGTGTCCTTCTAAATCTTGACAATTTTTTTTCTTAATTTGAAAATGTTTTGGTGGGCACATCTTCATTTCAGTGTGACTAGGTCTGGAGTCAAAAACATTTCAAATGTAATTTATCTTCTTAGCTGGCTCAGCTAAGGAACTGGAAACCTGGTGGCCCATACATCCTAGTAAGCAAGCTCTCGTGTCTGCTTTCCTCTCCAAATATACAAATATCTGACTTGAGTTTGAGTGCCCCCCACCCCCGGGGCTTCCTATGTAAATGTAACTCTTTTTTACCTCTTGCATCATTCTTATAGGGAAGTACAAACTACTGTGTGTGCTTGTGTATGGACGTGCGTAGGTGCATTCCTCCAAGGATGTTACGGACTGAAGAATGAAGAGCTAAATGCTCAGCGTGGGTACTGGTCATAAAAACAAGCATATTATCATGTTGGGGACATTGAGGCAGGTCAGCCTCTGACTTCCTCCAGTCAATGTTGGGGTTTGTGTGAGTTGTGTGCTACTTTGTCTCTGCACGCTTCAAAAGCTTAAATATCCCCATTCTGAAAATAGGCTCCCAAAGGGAAAAAACAGAGAGAGAGAGAAAGAGAGAGAAAACAGATTTCATTCCATGAGCCCCAAATGAATAAATGTGCGAGGACGTTTTCATGGCCGCCCCTATGGGATACTCACATCCACATGCATCCAGATCTTGTACTTTTTGCAAATATCAGCAACCGCCAGGAGGGGGTCAAATGCTCCGTACACAGTGGTCCCAGCCGTGGCGCTCACAAGGAAAGGAACAAATCCCTACACAAACAAGAAAGCCCCAAACAATGTCAAACAGGGTGCCAAGGATTTTTAAAAAAAATTTTTTTAAAAAGATTTTGTTTGTTTGTTAGAGAAAGAGAGCGCGTGCATGAGCGCACAAGCAAGGGGAACAGCAGGCAGAGGTAGAGGGGAGAAGCAGACTCCCCGCTGAGCAGGGAGCCCAATGGACCCTGGACTCGATCCCAGGACCCTCAGATCATGACCTGAGCCGAAGGCAGACACTTTAACAACTAAGCCACCAAGGAGTCCTGATTATTATTATTATTTTTTAGCTGATAAAAATAGCGGATATTCTCCCTCTGTCATACATACAGTTTTGGAACCATGACGAGGACTGTTGACCCTTTAGAGCCTGGGAGGATAGTTTAGATCTCCAGGATCTGAGTTCTCCAGGCCACTCTGTTGGACCTGCCAGTTGCCTTAGGAGAAAGACACTGGTTCTCAAGAGAGACCACACTGGACCCAGAGGTGAGGGAGCTTTATGGTGGCCTGCAGCCATTTATATATCCAGGTAGATACTCCTCCCCCCAACTTTGTTCACTTTCTAGTCTTCCTTTTTGCTCACTTTCTAATCTTACTTTTACATAACAGTCCCCTAGAGTGAGCAGGCAAAAGAATAAGAAGAAGGAAATCCGACCGACCCCATTATTCATTTTTGGAAAACTGTGAGATAATTTATTTGGGACGCCTTAGAGGGAAGGGTTCATGTGGGCTAGACAATAAGCCATGAGCATTATCTAAGTAGTCTTCAGTCTGTCTGGCCCTGGCTAAACGAAAGTTGCTAGACACTAGTAGAAGAGTGCCTCAAACAGAATGAACAGCTGTGATGTGACAGGATGTCGGAGTCCGTCTTTAGGTGGCAGCAAAGGTTTAATCTTGTGGTTTACTATCCTAGAAGTACTTCGGATACAGAAGCACGGGGAACCTCCTGCTGCCACTTTATAGAAAAAAAAAAAAAAGAAGAAAGAAAAGGCAGAGAAAAGAAATAACTATTCCTAAGCTGATAATAATCAAACGCACATAGCCTGCCATTGAACGAGGAACTGTAGGTCCTATCCACTAAAAGTTACATTAAGGGAGTTCTACAAACAAGCTCTCTGGTTTGCAAACCACCCAGGGATAGAAATGACTTTCTAGAGCTTTGTGGAAATCCTTCACAGGTCTCCGGAACTTGCTGTTTCTATGACTTCTAAATTGCTTGCCAGAGAAAAAGATGCTTGGAGAGCCAATCATAACCATATTCCTAGGCAGGAAAAATTGGCCCCTTTCAAAGAACCACACCGTGGTAACTCATGCAGCATTGGTATTGTGGTATCTTCCACTTGTGAAAATGATCTTTCAAATGGATGTCTGTTTAATGCCAACTCTCAGCGCATAAAAAGACGAATGCTGTAGAAACTCCTACAGCATCACCGTATATATTATCACAGGGTATATTATTTAAACAGCAACTTAGATCTTTCCAAAGCAGGGGCTGCAACTCAGAGAAATGAGTAATGACTAGATATAAAAATCCCATATTCTCAGTAAAGCAGGGAGGTTGAGAATTGGGTCCTCTTTTCAAAACAAAACCAAAGTGGCAGCACCTGGGTGGCTAAGTTGGTAAAGTGTCTGACTCTTGATTTTTGGCTCAAGTCATGATCTCAGGGTTGTGAGATTCAGCCCCGCACTGGGCTCTGCACTGGGTGTGGGACTTGTTTGGGATTCTCTCTCCCTTTCCCTCTGCCCCCCACTACAGCCCCACCCAAAACCCCAAAAGCAAACAAACAAAAAAACCCAAACCAAAGAATGTTCTCCACTGGATGGAATCAGAAATATGTACCCTTAGCTTGTTATGGGCTGGTTAAAACTCCCTACAAGCACTTACTTTTTGTTTGGCTTCAAGGATCCTTCTTTCAAGATCAGATGGGATCATTTTCCCCCTGAAAGGAAAAATAAATATATTAGAGGTTTGCTTCAAATAGTTTACTTTGTGGTCTTTACAAGCAGCCGCATCAGGGTAGGAGGTCAACCCTAAATAATCAGTTAAAACAACTCGTTGACTGTTTCCAGGAAGAAACGCAGTTTCTCCCTGAAAGATGCAGGATGTAATTTCTGACACATCGAGGGGACTCATGAACACACGGTGCTGTTAGAACGGCCACGGGGCCCTCTAGGCTACACAGAACCTGCTTTTTAGGTCATCCCCCTAACTCGGTTAAAAACAAACCTGCTTTGGCATAAGACACTTGGCAATGAAAGGACAGTGCAGAAAAGAGGTTTGTATTCCCAATCTTCGAATGAATGTAGCTGCAATTTCACATATAGATGACATGCCAAGAAGAGAAATCCATTCGAAACAATTGAATGAAAATATTAAGTAAAAAAGCTACCTAATTACATTCTAAGTACTAAAAGCCTGAAGCCGGCCAGAAAAACATGGGCTCAAATTTCAAACAATTAGATGCACGGACTTTGGAAAAAGAAACATCCTTTCTTTCCTCCCCAAAATGTTTCTTTCCTAAAATAAAAACACAGATAGTTCTAGGCTAATTATAAAACCCCATTATTATAATAATCAAAGGAGTTGGTTTCTAAAAGAAGAGAGATGGAGCTAGATGTGTGATCTTAGGTGACTTGATTTCTCTGTGCCTCTCATTACTGTCCCTGGAACACAGTGATAATAATATTACTTATGGAGTTATGAGGTTTAAGTGAGTTGATAACTACAAAACGATTTTAAAAGTGCTCGGCATGTGGGAACACTCCATAATTGTTAGGTTTTATTGTTGAGATTGTTATGTATGATGACATCCATCTCCCAAGACTTTGGGGGGAAAAATAGGGAAAGGAGAAAGTCGTTGCATGGTGCCAGGAACAGTGAAAAAAAATTTTTTTTTTAAAGATTTTATTTATTTATTTGACAGACAGAGATCACAAGTAGGCAAAGAGGCAGGCAGAGATAGAGGGGGAAGCAGGCTCCCCGCAGAGCAGATAGCCCGACGCAGCGCTCGATCCCAGGACCCTGGGACCATAACCTGAGCCGAAAGCAGAGGCTTCAACCCACCCAGGCGCCCCAACAGTGAAAAAATTTTAAAATAGCTCTCTTGAGGTTGCTAAACTGGCTTAACTTTTCACATCAGGGTCATCGATCTAGGTTTTTAAAAGGAAGTTTGGAAAAATAAAGTATGGGCAGGAGGTTGTCACAATAACAGATGGGGAAGACTATTGGCATTTAGGGAGCAGTGTGGGGAGGGGCTGGTATTTGTCTTGAGGTCAATAATCCATTCCTGGTTGTCCCTGTGACTTTAAGTACAGAGCAAGCATTGGGCTACTTCATTATATCTTCTAAGGTTTACATACTGAAATTTGTTATTTTATTATGACTTACTTTCCTAACACCCATTTTATAAAAATACTTCAAGCATTATATAGTAAGTTTTATTTCCAGCAACTTTCATTCCAGGCTTACAAAGGAGGCTGCGCAAAGTAGTTGGCGTGTAAAGCTGACATTAGGCCTGAACGCCTTAGGAACCACTAATTTATCTGAAGCTGTCTTCCAAAGGAAGGCAGTTAAAACGCAATTATCTGGCAACAGGGAGGGACAAGTTACCAGTCATTTGTCAGGCTGGGTTGGAACAAAGGACAGTGAACCTATCTATGGTGGTAAGGGTACAATCTTGGGTGGGAGCAGCCCACCTCTGGGGAACTTTGGTGAGATGGGGCTTCTGAAGGAGGGACAGAGGGAAGGGAAAAGCAGGGGGCCGTGGCGGGGACAAGGACTTCACTCCCTACACTTCTCCCTATACTTCACAGCTCGGCCTTGGGGGCAGCCCACGAAGCAGTGATTTTCCATGTCTCTAGATCAGGCTATGCTCAAACACCTTGCTTCAGCGCTGATCTAAATAAAATGTGCCGATTTCAGAAGAAATTTGTGTATTGAAGCTGTCTTTTACATAAAGCTTTCAGCACATTAAAATTGCCATTGTATTTTTTCTAGGTAAATGTAGAAGTTGAGAGAAGATTCTCAGAAACAATTTGCAAATCCCCAACTTTCCCTAGTTTTCTACATGCCCAAGGAGAGTAAAACACTCTCTTTTGGAGAATTTTGGGTGACAAGTTTGAGAGCGGCAATTCGCGGGTCTAATCACACCTGGGTGTTTTGTTAAGCATAGGCAGTAAGGTGTCACCAAGAAGTCACAGATCAGGATACATTATAATCGGAAGGGGCTGAAGACCTGTTTCCAGTCTAATTGTGTCATTTTTCAAACGAGGAAGTGGCCAAGAGAAGGGAGGTGACTGCCCAAGATCAAATGTTTGTAAAAAGTTGATTGTAACTAGACAGGAGACACCAAGCTTCCTAGAAAGGTCAAGCAGATAGGAAACCTATTTAGAAAGATTGGAGTCTTTTAAGATAAGATAAATCCTTGCTGATAATATCTGACTTTCCTGGATCAGAAGTGTCATTCAAGCATGCTGGGGAAAACAGTAATGAACAGACAGTCTGTTCCATTTCCCTATCAGAGTTTTGGGGCGGGCTGGTAAAATAATCAAGTTCAGGCAGAAAGCAATGGCTGTGGCTCTTGATGGGGACAGGTTCCAGACACCCTTGGGCACTCTGCCCAAGATACTTGTTCTATCCACGTAGGATCCCAGAGCCTGAAGGTGGCGGGTATGTGCTGGAGGTTACGTGAGCAGAAGGCAGAAGTTTAACTCAGGGTTGATAGTAATTTGGTGACTTTACCTTAATGACTGGCCAGACAGCTAGTATAGGGGCCTCTGGGGCCAAAACTTTTCATCTTTCTGTTTATCTTAGAATTTGCTCAATTACTTTAGAACAAGGGTTCTTAAAATTTAAGTGTGCATAAAAATCACTTGGGTGTGCCTTTAAAATGCAGATTCCTTGGCCCCGCTCCTAGGGATTTTGATTTAGGAGGTCGATTATCGGGCCCAGGAATTAATTCTTTCCACAAATATGTACTGAGTGCATACTAGGCGCCACACATTATTGGGGAAACAGACCAGTTTTTACTCTTCAGGGCTTCCATGCTAACAAGAGAAACGAATGATCCCACAGTCGAAAAGACAGACAGGCAGAGGAATCTGCATTTCTAACAAGCCCTCCCAGAGCGTTCTGACCTGGATCCACATGCTGGGAAAAGATTGCTTTGGAAATGGAAATTTTAGCCTGGTAGGCATTTAAACAATTGTGTGACAGACTAGCCAAGGACCGATCGATCGTAGGACCTGTGGTTTTGAGCCATCACAGCAGAAGGGCAGGGAGCAGAAGGAGCTCCAGATACACATTGTACATTCCCTACTGGTGCTGTGGGGCGAGAGAACATCTGGGTGACATCCAGCAGGTCCTCTGAGGACTAGAAGCTGTCTGGCCAGGCCTGGAATTTCCAGACAAACATCTCTTGGTGCAGGAAGGCTCTGGACGGCAGCTGTTGCATTCTGTAGGTCTGGCCTCAAAGTATCTCCAATAGCAAAAAATGCATATCTTTAATGTTTACACATCTTAGCCTTTCAGCACACAATTAAGTAGTGACTGGTGCTTTGTAATACTGCTCTCTGGTAGTTGTTAGTGTTTATGAAAAGGGCTGCTATGGAAGCGGGGACTGTTGGACCAGACTTCTGCCTTGGATGTGGCTGCCTTATACTGAGATTTCTGATTTTGCAACAGTCTTTAAAAATGTATATAAATGCTACCAGGTCAGATAACATCACAAAATTTCCTGGGTAAAAATCCCACCATGGCAGCTAGAGCTGCCAGCAGGAAAATCTTGTAGGAAGAAGTTAAAAACACAGATTCATGAAGGAGAAAGCGAGCTTACCAACAGGAGAATGTTGACTAGAGAGTTCATATGTCTAGGCAGGCATCCCAATAGTCACAAAGCAGGTGCTGGGGTCCTGCTCATTGGTCCTGATGAACCTGTAGTAATTCTATCAAGTGAGTAGAGGTTGTCTCTGTTCGCAGAGATGTGTGCAAAGAAGGGATACCCCATGATCTCTGACCCTCCTGCCAACACTCTACAAAGGTTACCATTGTTCAGACTTCACAGACAAGGAAACTGTGGCTCAGGGAGGCAGGTAGATGTGGCAGAAACTCAGAACGTGGAGATAGAATCACCAGGTTCTTGTCCCAAGACCTAGGCTCATTGTGTGTCCTTTAAGAATTAAGTTCTTCCTTGGGCTCATTCATAAAACGATGACAATAGGACCTCTCCTCACAAGCATTCCATGAGGATTAAATGGGATCATAAATAGAAAACACTATAAAGCACTAAGTATAAAACTCTGTCTTCATATAGCCACCGCTCAGTACATATGAGGTGGTCTCACTGTTGTCATTACTAGCAATGGTTCTAGTGGTGTGTGACCTGCCGGGTGTCGCGCAGCTAGCAGGGGGCAGACAGCAAACCTAGAGCTGTCTTGTATCAAAATGCAGGCTCTTAGCACCGTACAACAGATGTCTTCCAAAGCATTTATGGGGTTCAAACAAAATATCTGCCTATCTGAAAGGTTGAGTTCTAGAACTGCAATAATGTATGTAGGGTTTTTTGGAAGCCCCTCGAAGTGAGTACTTCCTTGATCCCAATTCTTTTGGCTATTAGTACTGTTTAGTAAAATAAAAACTTACCACCTCCTACTAAAATATTTGCTCCATCATCCCCTGGTGATACAGTTCCTTCTAGAATAGTATCTAAATCGTAGTGGAGTAACCAAAGTTGGCCAATTTTTTGGTTTTGTTTTTTTTTTAAGTAGTCAGCACGAAGCAAAACTAATTTTTTTAAACATAGATTGTGATACAGGGATGGTAAAAGGAACTCATGGACCCAAGCCAATTTTCAAACTGCCCAGACTGTGTGGTAACTTGCAAATTTCACTGACTAACTGGGGAAGACTGTTACAGGAATTGTGGAGCAGCGGGGAAACATAC